AATTTAAGTTTATAAAATATTATTAAGATTTTTTTATTAAATATATTATTTTTTAAATACTAATATATATATATAATAATTAAAAGTAATATATTAGATATTAAATTTATTAATAAAATATAATAAAAATTAAAATTTTCTTCTATATTAAAATTTATAAATTATTTAAGAAATAATTTTTATTTTTATATTAAAATAAAATTTATTAGTTATAATTTAATATATATTTTTTTCAGATTTTTTATATTAACTTTATAATTAAAATAATTCTTTTAAAAATGATTTAAAAAAATCTTAAAAGAATATATATTAAATTATAACTAATAAATTTATTTTAATATAAAAATAAAAATTATTTTTAAGAAAAATTTTAAATTTTTATATAAAAATAAAATTTTAAATTACATTATATTTTATTAATAAATTTAGTTTTTAATATATTATTTTTAATTATTACTATATATAATATTTCTTATTATTTAAATAATATTTTTTTATAAATTTTTATTTAAATTAAAAAAAATTTAAATATTTTATACTTAAAATAAAACAAAAAAAAATTTATAAAAATAATATTTTAACTTAAATTTTCTAAAAAAATAAATAATTTATATTTAATAATTAAAATTAAATTAAAATAATTTTTTATAAATTAATAATTAATATTAATTTTTTAAAACTAATTTATTAAATTAATGAGTTATTATAAATAATAAAAAATTAAATTATTAAAAATATTATATTTATTAATTAATATAAAAATTAAATATTATAATATCTTATTTAAAAATAAAAAAATAAATATTTATATTAAAATAATATTAAATAATAAATATTTATATTAAAATAATATTAAATAATAAATATTATTATTTTAAATTTATTTTAATAATATATATCTAATAATTTACTAATTTTAATATTAAAAATATATAAACTTGAATTATTAATTTAATTAAATAAAATTATAAAAATTAATTAATTAAATTATAAATATTTAATTATAAATCTTTAATTATCATATATAAATAAAAAAGCAAAAAATAAAAAATAATTATATTTAATATATTTATTATTATAAAAAATAAAAATAAACTGCTTTTAAAAATAAGTTATTTTTATTTTTAAATTAAAATCAAATATAAAAATTATATATAAATTTAATAAATTTATTTAAAAATAAGTTATTTTTTTAAATTTAAATTTTTTATAAAAGAATAATTTATTTTTAATTTTTATAATAATTGAAAATTATAAAATTTTATATATATTAGAAAAAAAATTATTATAAATATAATAGAATATAATAAAATTTTTATAATTATAAATATATTAATGTTAAACTAATATAATTAATATATTATTTATTAATTAATTTTAACTTAATATAATACTAAATTCTAAAATATAATATTTTATATTTTATTTTAAATAATAAATATTATTATTTATTTATTTATTTTTTATCTTTATCTTATAAATTTAATTCTATTATTTATTTTATTTTTTAATAATTTTTATATTTTATATTTTTTTATTTAATTTTTAATTAATATAGTTATTTTTATTTTTTTATTTTTTATTTTTTAATTTATCTTATTAAATATAATATTAATTATTTTAATTATTAATTAAATTATATTTTTAATTATTTAAAATATATATTTTATTTCTTAATTTTAATACTCTAAATTATATATGATAAAATATTAATTTAAATAATATAATATTAATTAAATATTTAATATTTTACTAATTAAGTTATATAATTCAATATAGATTAGATAATATTTTATATAAATATAATTATTATAAAGTTCTAATAATAAGCAATTCTTTATATCATCATTTTAAGATTAATTTTTAGAAAGATTACTTATTTTTGAGCTCTTTAAATAAATATAAATATATTAATAACTAATAATTCAAATTGAATATTTTATAACTCATCAGATTCAACTTATTAAAATAATTATTTTAATAATTTTTCATTTAAATCTGATTACTAATTATTAAAATACTCAAAAATATTTATTACTATATATTAAAAATTACTATCACAAATAGAAGTTGCTTATTTAATTTTTTTAAGACTTTTAAATTTAAAGAAAGAGAATTATTTATTTTAGAGAATTAGAAAAGTAACTAAAAAATAATTCAAAAAATAAAATAATTTTTAAGAAATTAACTAATATTTCTAATATATATTTACTTTTTTTAACTTATTTAATTAATAAAATTATCTTTTTATTTATATTTTATAATTATAATTACTTATCTAACTAGTAAAAATATTATAATTTTACTTATTATAAACTTGTTATATACTTAAATATTAGTATTATACTTTAATATTTTATTAATAAATTTATAAATTTTATCATTATCTTTTTTTTATTTATTCTTCTTAAAAATATTCTTACTTACAAATATTATTTAGTTTAATTATTATATCTTTAATTAATTAAATATTATGTTTAATTTATTTTTTATTTATTTAATTAAAAATAATAATAGTATTAAATAAATTTTATTCAAGTTTATAATTAAATTAATTAATTTATAATTTATAAAATATTTTAATAATTAATACAAAATCTATCTATTATATATATGAACTTTGAAAAAATTAATAATAAATAATTATTATCAAGTATTATTCAAAAATAAGAATAAATATAATAAATTCTAAAATTAAAAATAAAAGATTTATTAATTATAAATTATATAATAGATTATTTTTCTTTTAGTTTTCTTTTAATATTGATAAAATTATAATTAAGATTGATCTCTAGACCAGTTCAAACATATTCAAATATCTATATAATTAAATTACTAATGTAAAAATAGTATAATTTATTATTAATTATATTAATTTTACAACTATATAAAAGATAATTATATAAAAATCAGACTGTATTAATTAAGATAAAATCATATAAAAAAAAATTAATATAGCAAAAATAATATTCTAATTAATAAAATAACAGATTATAAAAGTTTATAATATTATTTATAATTAATAAATCTCGGCTTTTTGTTATATTTTTTAATAAAAGAATTTTTGATTTTATTTCAGCAAAATATATATTATATATTTATTTTTGAATTAAAATCTTTATTTGTATTAATAAATCTTTAATAAATTATAAGCTATCTTATTATAATTTTATATAATGTAATAGTTTTTAAAATTTTACTACGAATCATATTAAAAGGATAATCAAGTTCAGATTATGAAAACATACAAAAATAATTTTTTCACCTTGTTCTTTAGAATTCTTGAATTTCATATTTAAAAAAATTAGTTCTATATACTGGATAATATCACGACTTTTGCTCCTATATGTTTTTTAAGGATATAACTGAGAATGGGATATATCTGAATATATAAAAACATAAAAACGGAAATTTGTTCCCGTTCAGATGTGGGAATACAAATTAGGGCTTTAAATGGGAGAGGATATGAACCAATGGAGATATAATCTAGGTACGACTGTTATGAGTATGTTCTAAACTTTTTTATAGTAGAGCTCAAAACGATCTATACAAAAAATTCTCAATATGGTAAATTTATTAGTAAACTCACTTGAAAGTTGTTACATTATGTTAGTAATACAATGGTGATGTTAGATAATTTGAACCCTGAAATCCTTTGTAATACAAATATTCACTTTGCCGCAATATTATCACATTTGGCTTTTTGTTTAAACAACTTCTGTGTTGATACTCTTGTGTGTATTAATGCTTCTATTAATACAGCTACGTGTAGATTGATTTTTGCCCAATTTTTTTGGCTGGAGTTGTGGAATCATACGCCTAAAATGAACTCTCTGGTGTGCGTATATGTATATACATGTATGATAAAATTAATAAAAGACACAATACTAGAACAAATCTATTTTTATTAGAGATACAGATAGCAATGATTCTCAGAAGTCTAATTTCATGCAAGAAATGATTTTGATTTAGTAGGGTAGCTTTATCTATTCTAGGAATAGTTATTGTTATCATTATTTAGAAGAAAAAAAAAATTTTTGATCGGATCCGAAAAAAGGTTAAATTATTAATATTTTCTATACACCTAACGCTAACACAAAAAATTGTATGGTGAATTCAATAGGCATTAATATTCGCCATCTTTTTTTATTTACACTTTTTGCATGAGGAATGGTGCGCTTATCGATAAATAACGCATTGTGGCCAACTTCATTGATATTGGAGAAAATATAACTACCAATAGGTCTTGGCATGAGGCTGATTTCGACGGCTATAACAATCATATTCATATGCATTAACTATTGATTTTTTTTTTAGCTGTTGACCGCTTTTTTTCTTTTTCTGAACTTTTTTAAACTCGACACGTTTTTCTCATCTCAATACCTTTTTTTGTCACTATCACAACACCTTTCTAACAGAAGTTATACGGAATCTCAAAACATTTAGGAAAAAAAAACCTTAAAGGAGAGCCGTTATTAATTTTTTCTAATTATTCTTTGAGAATCTTTTTTTTTAAATCTGTCATACCAAGTTGATTCCCCCAGTTTTTTCTGCTCCTGTGCAGTCTCCTATGTTTGACCCTGGCTAGTTTTTGCGAATTTTCCCCTTTTATGTTCGCCCTGAGATCTGCTGTTTGCCTTTGTCGTTGATTTCTTCCAACTATCTCCCAACATCTCTGTCCGGGTTTACCCGCCCCGCTTGCTTGTAACCTGTGAAAACCCGGTTATTTATCCACTTACCCTGACAAATTTACAAATTTTGGTAAGCTATATACTCTTGAACACTGGAAATTTTGCATGCTGCTTAAGTGTCTAACGAGTAGAAATTTGACCAACCCACTTTTTTCAACCATGTTTTATTAGACACTTTTATCTTTTTGAACTTTTACATCATATTGTGCTATTTCCCAGAGAAGACTTTTCGTAATATAAAAAATTAGACTGTTCCACTTAAACCCTGCAGGCATTTTTCACACATCAAACTTTCATCTACCAGTCAAAATGTCTATCCCAAAGTCAAACGGAAGTCTTGTCGTTACCCAACTTAGATCGCCCATCAACCCACCGACCTTAATCGAATACAAAAATTACCGATTCTTAATTGCCGATGCTCCATCGAATAATAACTTGCAACTTTATATTCAGGTATTTATTGATTAAACTTTGTTTACAAGAATTAATGAATTCCACCTTCTAATGTAACATCCTTCCATTACCATAGGAATTCGAAAAGTATAACGTTACCGATGTTGTTCGCGTTTGTGATCCGACTTATAATTCCGCGCCTCTCGAGCAACGCGGAATAAAAATCCATGTAAGTTAATTAGCTCATCATCATTATTATTAGTAAAATTCTCACTGATGACGAGAGTAAACTTTTCACGATTCTAATTCAGGATTGGGTATTTGGAGATGGTGAAGCGCCACCATCCAATATTGTACATGATTGGCTTGAACTGGTAGAAAAGCGATTTGGAAGAGAGGTGGATGACAAGAGACCTACGATTGCTTGCCACTGTGTAGCTGGGCTTGGCCGGTACACACATATATACATATATATCTCTCTCTCTCTCATATTTGTACATTTTAACTTGTGAATACTAATAACCGACTTTGATCTTTCTATAATAAATAGGGCCCCCGTTTTAGTTGCCATTGCTCTGATCGAATCTGGTATGTCACCTCTTGATAGTGTCGTGTTTATCCGAGAACGACGTCGAGGAGCAATTAATAATAAGCAACTTAAGTACATTGAAGGGTATAAAAAACGATCCAAGACCAAGTGCATTATATGTTGACTGCATGATCTTGGATTTTTATTTATTTATTCGGGTTTTTTTTGTGAGCAAAATTTATTTAATGTTTTTGAAAGTATGGGAAATAGAAATTGCTCTAGTCGATTTGGTGAATTCGTAAGCAAATTCAATAGGGCGAATTCAAATCATAAATTTAGTCGACATCACCCAAAACGACCAAACTTTAAAAAATCATTTCTGAATTCATCACATTCTCGCCAGAGTAAATACCAATCCTTAGAATGTCAATTATCCGCCAATGTCATCACTAGTAGTACCACTCGAATTTTTTATAATAGTTATTTCCCTATATTATCTTCACTTTTTATTGGACATTTTTTCTTTGTCATTTTAGTTTTTAGAATTTTTTTCTCTCTGTTAGGTTTCGTGCATTTTGATAATGGATAAATGAGTGTACTATCTATAAATCGTATTTTTTTCATTCTAAATTTGCCCTTGGATCAATTCGAAAACTGCCCGGTAAAATTGTATACGCTTACTACGTGTGTCATAGCTTTGCAGCGGGATTTACCTCAATTATACTTTAAACAAATAATGTATGTTTGATCACATTGGGCTGCCAAACTTTGTTTTTTTTTTTTAAAATAATCTCAATAAAAACGACGTAACAATGGCAGGCGCAAGGTTTTCTAATGGTCTCCCTATGCCTTCGCGCGGGTGAGCTAACCTTATTCTTTTTATGTATTATTTGCCTCGAGCGTTTTAAACCACTTTTATCGTTTTCTTTTTTTTTAAGTGTGCGTTAACATTATGGATATTATAGATGATTTTATTGATTAATTCTTGTTTTTTTGCATAGTCAAGTTATTCTTTCGAAAATAATTGGCGGGAGTATGACATTCTGTGAGTGGACAACTATAAGAATTTCAGCGCATGTCATTTTATTGAATTTAACTAATATATTTGATCATTTAATATAAATCGATCTCACGTCGCGAAAAATTATGATGAAAGGGATGTAAGTTTTTGTTGCCTTAACGTATTGTAAATTGTTCCGATGATGATTATTTTTAATTACATAATCGAAATAAAAAGATTATATCGTGGTAGAGAGGAATTACCTATCCTGTTGGTTAGTAGAACCTTTTTATTAGTATACGGATCTTTCTTCATATTTAATTTAATTCAATTCATAAATTATAGCGCTGGAGACATCCTTGGGAAGGTCACGGACACCATCACCCAGGAGGCGAACATAGCGAATCTCATGCCACTGAAGCACAGCATTAAAATCATTATTTCCATCAATCTAGTCTCCGTTCTCCATCCTCTATCAATTTTGTCTTAAAGTGATATAATACAGATATCAGTTCATTAATATTTAAAAAGAATCGTTTGACATTCAAAATACTTGGGAATAATCTAAGATAGTAGTCTTAAGTGGCTATATTTATTCTAAATAACAGCACATGAGAAACTAGATCAATCTTTATCTCACCCATGATCTTAAAAAGGGGTTGGGAAAAAAAAAGAGCTAACGTCATACATCAATTTATTAAAATTATCAAACTTAACAAGACTCAAACTCATTACCTCAGCTACTTTCTTTTTTTGAATTTATTTGAAATATTTTGTTTATAAAATTAGACACAAAGTTTGAACGATAATTTAAAAAATTTGGAAATATCATCAAATGATGATGAGGATGATGACACCTGCATCTTATATTTTATTTTGATACATGATAATTTCTTTTAATCAACTTCTTGAGTTTCAATGCGAGCTTTAACCTGAAAAATCGATATGATTTATGCAATATTAGAACAATCTCAAAGGTATAACCAAAAAAATAAATTGGCGAATAACGGAATAAATTTACTAACATTAGTTATTCTAACTGACAATTGAGCTGCTCTTTCAATTATCTTCAATCGATTTCTTGAGCTAACATTATGTGCTAAAAATTTATTGTCAAATCATGGAAGTGTTAGACCGGAAGGAAGGATTTAAAAAACATCACGCTTATTTTACCTATTTCGGCAGCGTAAGTTTTGTTATGCATCAGTAATAGTTCCAATTCTCTGACGTTGGACACGAGGAATTTCTTGAAACCATTGGGCAACAGATGACGGGTTTTTTTATTTGAGCCGTAACCGATCTTTGGCATTGGTAATTGACCCTTGAATCGGCGTCGAACTCGATTATCAATACCTTTGGGTTTTCTCCATGATTCCTGTAATAATAGAATTTATCGTTGAACGAATGATCGAAGAAATCGAACTAGATACGTGAAAAATCAAAATTTTAAAATTCCATTTTTTATTTAGCACCTTTACTGATTTATAACGATCTGACTGATGACGCTTGAAGGGTTTCGTGCGTTTCTTGACAATCTTAACTTTCTTCACGGGATTGACCATGTTTATCTAAATTTAAACATTTGAAATATTGATTTAAATATGTCATCAAATCAATTCAAAAATCTTGAAATACACGAAAATTAGATGCTTTTTCAGGTAAAAATATGTTACGCTCAAAAGCAACTTGATAAAAGAACAATCCGTATTTGTGTGGCATTTCAAAAAAAATCTTCGTGTTAAATCCTGAAGCCAAAATTTCGAGTTGCACAAATTTATGTATTTATGTATATCTCGCAAGAACATCAAGAGAAATGTCAAATTGCCAATACTTTGTATCAACATTTATCGTTTGCATTCCCAAAAATAACGCATGCAAGGTGTAAACGCAACCAGGTTAAAAACCCACCTGAAAAACGGAATGGATGGGAAAGAGGATTCCTTCGTTTTTTGGTCATAAACAAAAATTTTTTCTTCATAAGCATGATGACGTAAATGAATCTGATTGGGTATTGCAAGAATTTCTAACCGACGTGAGCTGATTGGAGACAGAAATTTTCACAATGCCATCTCCTCGAACAACAGAACGTAGAGATTCACGCGAATATAGTAGATATGAAAGATATGAGAGACATCCGAGGTCTCCTCGGAGACATCGCGCCAGATCACGGTCCCCTCCCATGAGACGAGAAAGATCTCGTAGGAATTCAATTGAAGAAACAAGCAATCGGCGACGCTCTTCACGAAACTCAAAATCTCCTAGACATCGCGCCAGATCACGTTCCCCTTCCAGGAGGCAAGGAAGATCCCGTAGGGATTCAATTGAAGAAACAAACAACAGGAGACACAGTTCACGGAGGTCAAGTTCTCTAGCTCGCCGATCTCGTTCACCATCAAGTACAAAAAGTGATAAAGGCACTCAAAAACCAAATTTCGGACTTTCGGGAAAACTTGCTGCAGAAACAAATACTTTCAACGGAGTCGTGTTAAAATACCATGAACCTCCAGAAGCTAGAAAACCGGCGGAAAAGTGGAGACTCTACGTTTTTAAAGGGGATGAGCAAGTAGGTATGTTCAAATATATTTGCGGTAAATTCGTACAGAATGAAGATAGGGGATCCTATATGAATTCTAATCGAATCGTGATTCAACGTGAAAAAAGATTTACTCCACATCCATCGTCAGAGTGCCTACTTATTAGGTCGCGATAGACTTGTAAGCGACGTTTTTTTTTATTTTCGCTCTGATGGCTCTAATCGATGGTTCCTGTAAGCGTCTTGTTAATTTGTTTTTATTTCTTTTGATAGGTTGCAGATATTCCCATTGATCACCCTTCTTGTTCGAAACAACATGCAGTGTTACAATACCGACAAATGACCGAGAAAGATGAATATGGACAATTTCACTCGACGGTGAAGTGAGTAATGGTTATACTATATTGAGATCATTTGACATGCGGAATTTAATTTTTTACAATTTAATGGTTAGGCCATATATTATAGATCTTGAATCGAGTAATGGGACTTATGTCAATAGTGCACGCATTCCCACGACTCGTTATTTTGAGTTAAAATTAAAAGATGTCATAAAGTTTGGATTTAGTACACGGGAATATGTATTGATGCATGAGGAAGTGAACGAAGGAGATGAAGATGAAACTTGAAATTGAGATGTTTCCATTTGCTTAATATACATAATTGTAACATCGGATCTGGACTTATTTAATCTCAATGGAGAGCACACAGAATCAAGGTGAGATTTCGAATTATTTCGAAGATCATAGAGAATTCACGATATTAAAATTTCATTCATTCATTCAAATCACATATATTACCTCAGAGTAAATTAGGGGTCATTGTTGATATTCGAAGTTCGGATATTGCTAGACAAGTAAAAGAAATGGAAAAAAAAGGGGGTATGCGAACATGTATGTATGTATATCTTTTTATATATATATATATATATATATGAGAGAATAAAAAAGAAATTAACTTGTATGTCAGAAATGTTTTTGCAAGTTTGCGGTGTGACGCAAAAATGCATCAAAATAAACAAATATTAAAAATACAAATTGCACGTCATCCCTATGTCTAAAGAATATGAATCGGAAACATTTTGCTGTTGCATTATGTTAATTGATTGGTCTTCATCATTTCTTGTTTTCCTTTGATCAAGAAACGCGAAGATAAACAGCACTTCTTTTTTAATCACGTCCCAGATGAATTATTCTTGACGTAAAATCAGTCGAGTGATTTATTTCAAAAAAGGTAAGTAAAAAACTGTTTTTGTGATTAAGAGGTTTTTCTTGTCTATAATGTACAAAATAGGAAAAGAATAAAAATTATTACAAAATAGAGGAAGAAATTGGTAATAATTAATATGTACAGGCATGATATAATATAATGTAATGTAATGTTGTAATAAAAATAAAATTAATAACCACTGATGCTACTAAGTGACGATGATAGTAAAGCAATTATTTGATTTGATTGTTTAGCGAGAAATAAAATCCTACGCTTACGAATTAGCCGAAGAAGTGGAAGTTTGTGAGGGAACAAAAAAGAGTGAATTTCTGATTACCAAATTAACTATTTCTAGAACTGATAAAATACTGCACACTATATCTCATAATGATACATCAGAGTTCTCCTACTTTCTCATATAAATCGTACACATTAATACACACACAACATCTTGGCCTTGCCAACCCACCTCATTTTCCCCGCTCATTTAAATTTTTGTTACTACTACTAAATTAAACAAAGAATATTTAGCAGCTTTCAAAAAAATTTAGAACTAAACAAAATAATGATTGTCTTTTTCAACTGGGTAAATCGATGTATAGATATATATAGATATATATAAATATATATCTATATCTATATATTATATGTATATACATATATATATGTATAAATTTTAATGTCATTAACTTCCGATTTTTTTTTGGAGTCAATTCGGTCTTTTTTTTGTCATCGATATATATTATTAATTATATTAGTTAATTTTTATGAGATCTTTTCCACTAATTCTTAAATCATTGTACCGGCGGAGAATTCTCCTGTGTTATCATACTAGTATTAAAGGGGTTGTCTGGCCGGGTTGGAGTTAACATGGGTGATGGCGATTCATATTGATCTGGTTCTACCGTAATTGCCCTTCGATACCTAGGATGTTGTTTGACTAAGTTCGCATAATAATTTTGCAAGATTTCGCCTGGACAGATTACATGCCAATCGATAAGCGACAGGAATTCTAATTCCAAATTGTTTAATTCCTGCATTGTTATGCCACCCACTCGAGCATAATGAGAGTTCGTGCAATAAGAGTCACACAATGCCTTCGATGAAACTGTGATTGCCGCAATAATAAACCGGTGCACAGTTAAAGAAGAAATTGTGAATGTCCTATGTCTTTCACACACCCGGTCAATGTATATTAGAATTATTAGAAGACAAGCTCTTTCGACCGAAGTATATCGGATTATTCGACGCAAATATTCCTCAACTGATATGTTTGGAGATGCTCGAGAGTGAAATCGAGTGAGATTTGAAGGTGTTAATGGTATCTGGTCATTATGAGCTATTAGACGGTCCAACATGTGAGCTGTTTTGTAAATATTCAATATGGATGAATATGTGGATGGATATATGAGAATATAGAAAGAGGAAGGAATGAGCTAAAATTTGATGTCCCAGCTTTTAACACTTTGAAATCAAGAATAATTTCCCTTGGGGGAAGTTACTAACCGATCATATTCCCCAAATGATTTATGTCAACTTTATGAAAGTATTCTGGTACCTCAATTATTGGAAGTGGCATGTGGCTCATATTGATGCATCACAGCCAACCAAGGTAACTGTCCAAAAGTGAACACTCGGAAGTAATGCGAAAGTCTTTCAGTAGTGATAAGGAAGAAAGAGAAATAATGGCTTCTCTGTGTCTTTGTGATTCTTTATTAATGGATTTTCTGGCCCGGACAACGGTTCCAAAGACAAAAAAGTAAAAGAGGGTTGACGATTTAGAAAGGAATGAATGCAACCGTACAGCATTCAGTTAAGGCGAAACGGATGCACGACGTTTAGAGGATTTTTTGGAAGTTATTTGTTATGAATTCGAGTCAAAAGGAACAGAGAAAGCTTATAAACTAAGGTATATAGGTAGTGAGCAGTTGTGGTTTTGAAATGTTTATTATAGGGTTGTTTTTTTCAAGGACCTCTGTTTTACTTTTTTTCCCTCATAGTCCATGAAATTTTTGTAAGAACAATGTACGTTATTGGGTGATGTCATTTTGTACAATGTCAGACATTGTTGGTAAATCCAATCATCATCTTTATCGTTGTCTCGTGCTATTAAATTGGTAAATTGGTGAAGTAGATCAAAAGTAAACAAATAAGTTTAGTATAAACGTGGGCTTCACTTCTTGTTCGTTTGTAAGTTTATTAATTAAATCAACACACAATGCATATTAACATACAATAATAAAAATTTCATCATGTAAGACGAAACACGCCATTCCTATATAAAAATCAACACGTTTTCAAATTTTTAACTTTATTGATTTCTTATTAACAATAAATCTTTAGTATTATCCAAACACACTCGCACCAACACCACGCAATCACACATCAAATACATAGAAATTCACTTGCTTACTTTTTGCTTTGAGAGAGGAAAATAAATTTTTTTGAGCCACACGTTTTTCTTAGGTTTTTGCACCATGTGAGTAGTCACCCAAGTTTTACAAAGGGTAATTTACACAAACGAACATGCATTCCTTCTATCTATTTAAAATTACAAAAAAATCGAACATGTATTCCCTTCTATCTATTAAAATTACAAAGAAATCTACACCCTATAAAGAACCACTCTAATCGCACGCCGAATATCCGTATCTTTGTTAATTTTGCCAAAAATTATGGCGCGCGTGCGTGTTAGAGACTCGATTCTTTATAATGAAGATTATCATAATTGTTGTTTAATAAGTCCTAAAGTATCGGTGTGACATTCATTCAATTAACTATCATTACTTCAGTTCCAATCATTTTCTTGCTTTTCAGCACATGCACACGTAAAACATAAACGCGTTTTCATAGGATTCACTATTTGCGGGAATATACCAAAAAGGGTAAGTGATTGTACGATTCTTATTTTATGATTGTTATCGTGCAATTGCTTAAAACTTAAAGAGTAGGACACGTGCGGAGGAGACAAGCGATTATTAGTCTTTTTGTATGAATTTCTCTTTATATACTTTGTTTTATTGATCAATTGTTTTTTTGTTTATTTCAATGATTCTTTCGGAATCATGATCAAATTTATAATTCGAGATCGATATGGGATTTACATGGATTTACGTGCATTAAATGAATCATTTAATTGATGATGTCATTTGATGGCTTTATTTTGTCATTGAAGGAATGAGATAATACGACGCTAAATTTATCCTAATTTTGTGGCTGGTTATCCTTATTTTGGTAATCAATACCAATTAATCATAAAAGGGAATAAATTGATAATCAGACCACTTCCTTATAAATTACCTAATCGTTTGACCAGAATAATTAAATCTCGGTTCAGTGTCTATTTTCAGCATGAACATTGAAATGCAATTTCATTTTAATTATGCAGCAAGCATACATAAATTTGCTTTTTGCTCAAGATTTTAGTTATCCACTTGTTAATCACATCTGAATGTAACTTTCACGAGCAATTTTAACTTTTGTCAAATAATCAAATTCAGTTTATTTTTTGATCTAACAAATTTTTTTAAATAACAAAAATCCTGGATTGGACAGATAATTCACAAGTTGATTATACATATATAGCAATTACATATCGAATTATTATTACCAATCGCGCAAAATGTTCATGAATGATGAGCAATAATTAAAAAGGGGTTTAACTAAATTACAGTGGAAGGGGGAAAATAGATGATAGTGTGATATCTATAAAATTTAGTATCCTCATATATTTATATATAAATATAAATATAAATATAAAAAAATAGACAAGAATCTCAGAAGAAATCAAAGCAAATATATATGATAAAATGGTTTAAGTTGCAGTCGTATATATCATCTAATGAGTGATGAGTCATTTGTTCCCATCCTTTTTTCGATGAAAGGGCATGTGAGGGAATGGAAAACGAGATTTATGATGCGATCCTCTCGTTGATTCATCAGTTGATGTTGACTCTGTTAACAATTAAATGTAAGTAAATATAAATATAAAGGTTACAAATTATTTATCCATTATTAGTTACCTAGGTGTTCGGAATCCAATGGTGGTTGATACATACTTTGTCGTTGTCTTTGTTGCTGCTGTTGCTGCTGCTGCTGCTGCTGCTGCTGCTGTTGTAGAAAAATTTGTTGCTGTTGCTGCTGCCGACGTAATTGCTGTTGTTCAAATTGATTTATTCTTTCTTGTTGAAGTTGTTCTTCATATAATTGTTGTTGCTGCTGCTGCTGCGTAGCGTACTGTAATCCCCCATCTTGAATTGGTATTCTGACACTATTATAATTTCCATTTTGTGTGCCATTCTCTATTTGAGGAACTCCATTTACAGTAACTTGTCGCGAACCATTCGATTCTGTGATAACTGTTACGTTACCCTGTTTTCCCAAATTTAAAAATTAGAATATTTAATCACCAATAGATTATTAAACATACGAACTACGATATTATACCTGAGCATCTCTCTTTGTAATGGTAGTGGTCTTCACACCATTAACAATAGTTGTTGATGTTGACTGTGAAACACCCCCTCCCCCCATGGAGCTAGAAGAGAACATGAATGATGAGGATGTTCCCCCAAATCCTCCATTTGAAAAGAACGGATCATCAAAACCGAAACTACGACTTCGAGATCCTGGTGGATCAAACATTCCACCGAAGAATGGATCAGCAAAAAATCCACCTCCACCTAAAAGAATTCAAATTATCTTTAATTAAGATCACAAATTAATAAAAAGCAAGTTATAAAAATAATTACCAAAAAAGGGATTACGATCACCAAAGAATTGTCTAAATATTTCCTCTGGATCGTGGAACTAGAAAACAAAATAAACACATCAGCAAATCTGTAAAAAGATCCATGGATTATATATGGATTGAAACACTTTATATACCTGAAATTTAAACGCTGGATAGTGACCATTTGTATCACCCCTATTATTTTTCAATCCATCCTCTCCATACAAATCATAAATTCTTCGTTTTTCATCTTTAATTAGAGATGAAAGAATTAAATACTTTTGAAATTTTATCAATCCTAGGAAACTTAGACTTTATACTAACTATCACTTAGAACTTCATAAGCTTCAGAAATTAATTTGAATTTTGCTTCAGCTTCTTCACGACGATCAACATTTTTATCGGGATGCCAGGCAAGTGCTTTTTTGTATTTTAAATATAGAATTATTTTAGTATACGATCGATTAAACAAATCTTTCCCCAATTAAATCAGCGCTTTTTGATATATTCACCTTGCCTTCGATACGCTTTCCTCACGTCCTCTACAGATGCATCGGGTGATATACCTAACACTTCATAATAAGTAGCTTTCACCTCCATATCTTTTTGCTTTCTCCGGTTTTTGACCGAGTATTGCTCTCTAACCTTTCCTTTGATTTCTTTCTCTCTTCAGCAATAGAATAGAAGGTTACTTTGATCACAAACTATCTGGCGTATTTGTTTCCCTTTTTGTAATCTTTGACCAGCAAACGTTTTGGTTTCTTTTTTATTGATATTTACTCTCGTGTTCTTCTTCAAGGTTAATGAAAAAAAATTTCGTCGTATTGACAAAAGTCTGGATCTAAAATTAGGAGTTAATAACCTAAATACAAAGGTTGAGTAAGTGTTGAATCTGCAATTGTTTAAAACAAAAAGCAATCTAATTTATAAGATGACGAATTTTAGTGTTGTACATATATCATGTATCACACCAGAAATGGTTGCACGATGGCAGTAGAAACTTCTGGATGATTCTCTAATGTTCAGATTACGAAATATAGTATTGGTTTTTAAGTCACGGGTTCTATTTTGATAGATCTTCCGAAAAAATGACTCGCTCCAAAGCCCTGAAAATGCAAAGAAAATGTTCAACTCGGTCATGCACCCTGACTTTTGAAGGACATAAGCTGGTGTGTCGTTTTGTAATAAGAGTGTTAATTGGAAAAACAAAACTAGTAATAGGAACAGTGAAAATTCTATTAGAATCCCTAATAGAATTTACACCGTTCTATTGCACTCAGCCCATATTATATAACTAAAGGGGTGAGAAATTAATTTTTTGTTTTAAAAATTTGTATCTGTATACCGAAAACTTATCACATACATATATTATTTACATAGCTATCATGGGCAACTGCTCAAAAAATCCGAAAGTCTAAAACTAATAGCTTTATCTTCATTTTGGATCAGATCCTAAAAATATAATCTATCTGCTGAATCCAACCCATCTCAATTACATGCTTATACTAGTGAACTTAATGTTATGTTTTCAAATTGGAAGGCTCTTAAAGATGTGAAAGAAGCTCTTTGTTAATGCTCATTCAAAGAAAATCAAATAGAAATTCTAGTTCTGAACTAAAAAAAAACCACTCAAGGAGAAACTGAAAATAAGTAGAATATTTGTTTACATATTTTGGATTTAGCTGAAATAAAAAATAATACTGATAAGGAGAAAAGAGTTAGCAGAAGTTGGAATTGATTCTAAACTAAATATATATATATATATTAATCTTTCAGAGCTTTTAATGAAATTCAGAATAGATAATTCAAATAGTAATTGCTTAATCTGTCTAAAACTTTTAAATATTTCTCTTTAAAGAAAGAATTCATCCATTATTTAGAATTTTATAGTTATAATCATGATATTAAATATATAATTTTCTAAAATAATTATTTTTTGAATTATTCATTACAAATCAGATTATATTTGATATTATATTAAATATATTAAAAATAAATAAAGAATAAAAAAGATAATTTTTTTTGAATCTAAGTCAAAGTCTAATCTTGATAGTTTTTATTCATGAAAAAGAATTTATAAAAAAATTATTTATCTGAATTCAAGATATAATAATAATTGAAAAGTTATATAATTCTATTTATAATATTAATAAGAAATATAATATAAGAGAATTTAGTAAATTTTTTAAAATTATATAATATTACAGCCAAAAAATAAAGAAAAATCAGAAATAAATATATTTTTAGAATCATAGTAATTAAAATTCAAATTTATAATAACTTGAATTACTTAACAAATTTATAATGAAATATAAATAAATTATTTTAATTCTGAAAAATATTATATTAAGAATAATATTTTAAATTCTGATCTTGATTTAAATTTAAAATCTAAATTTAAAACTTATATATTTATATTTATATATTAATAATAATATTTAAAATCAAGAGTATTTATAACTTAGATAAATTTTTATCTTTTTTAAATTATTATAAAAAATTAAATTAAAAAATTTTTAAAAATAAAATATTTTTTTTTAATAAAAAGTATTTTTATTTATTTATATAGTTCAATATAAAAATATTAATATATCAGATAAATATTAATAAATTTTTTTTAAAATAAAATTTTAATTCTGCCTTATTTAATTAAGTTATTAGATATTAAAATTTATTTAAATATAAAAATTTTTATTATATATCTTTTATAAAAAAAATTTTATTAATAAAAACTTCTTTGAATTATTATTTATTAAAGTTTACTATATAAAATTTAATTAAAATTAATATAAAATTTATTTAGTAAATAATTTATTTATTAAACTTTAAAAACTTAATATTTTTATAATTATTAATTTAATTTTTATAAAATTTAGAATATATATTTATCAAATCTAAAATAACTTACTTATATAATTTAAAATTTTAATTTTATAAATTAATAATAATAATATTTAAAATATCTTTTAAAAAAATAATTTTATTTTAGTTTTTCTAGTAAAATAATACTTTATTTATTAAATTAAAGTAAAATAGAATAATTAAATAATATAAAAAGTTAATTTAGATTATTCTTTATTTAATATAGAAAATTATAAAGATTAGTTAAAATTTGAATAATTTTTATTAGAAATAATTATTAATTTTATATTAATATATTAAACTTTTTATATTAAAACATATTTTATTTATAAATATTAATAAATAATTTTATCTTATTTATATTTTTTATTTTTATATAAAAGTATTATAAAAAATAAGATTATTATTATCATAGTGACATAAAATTCCTTAATTTCCTAATCTTTTCTTAGTTATGCAAATTTATATATTTTTATATTTCTTATTTATTTTATAAATATCCCTATTTCTATATCATATATTATTATTTTTATTATCACATTTCTATTTTTAGACATTATTTAATATTCAGAATCTATATTTTTATTACTTGTAATATGATACTCATATACATAGTATAATTTATATATTCCAAATAATTCTTTTAAAAACTGTTTATTTTAGCTGAGATAACAGATCCTTTTATA